TCCAGTCCAGTCTTTGTCTGAAGAGTTGGCCACAAGAGTAGTTTTTGAGGCCAGGCTTTGAGGTTTGTTCTGACCCCAGGAAGTTTCTTCTTGGCTGTCTCTTTTTCTGGTTCTGTCTGGTAAACTAGCTGGTCTATGGTTTAACTTGTTGATATCATGAAGCAAACCACCACCTCTTAACTGTTCACCACCACAGTCTCCACTCTTAAAGAACTCCCTTATGCTTGAACTTCTTCCCCATACTTTGTTCCAAATAAAGTCAGTTCACTTGTAGCTCTCTGTTCCTACGGCCTGCCTCCCCCTGGGCAAAACCTCTGGACATTAATTGCATTCATCATGCTGTTCAGCCATCACCACTAACCATTCCCAAATTTTTCCATCACCATTAACAGAAGTTCTGTGTCCCCTAAGCATTGTGTCTTCTTTTCCCTCCTTCCCACCCACTCCTGGTAACCATTAATAAACTTTGATCTCTATACACTTACCTATTCTGGATATTTCATGTAAGTGGGAACATACAATATTTATCCAGATAAATGCTTCTTTATTTGCTGTATGCTCTTACAATTTTTTTCAGAGATTTTAAATGATTATGTCTTATTTTAGTAACTTTTACCAGTTATGGTTGTTTGATGGGGAAAGAGTTCACAGAGCCCCTCATGTCTCCATTCCAGAAATTGTCTCCAGTTTATGTTTTCAGAGTATTCATTTTATATGACCTTTGTTTATTCAAAATAATGAGATCATAAGTGAGTGTACTGTTTTCTAACAGCATTATTTACTTAATATATTGTGAACATCTTTCTGTTTCACTAAATATTCTGTCACAATATCATTTCTGGTGTCTTCTTAGAATTTCATTGTATAGATGAACAATAATTTCTTTAAACAATCTCCTATTGATTGTTTAATGTAGCCGTTTTTCAATGATCCACTATTAATAAGGAGCACACTAGTGAATATCCTTAATGGCCAAAAATTACATATATGCTTAATTATTTCCTTTAGAAACTTTTCTAGAAATGGGATATCTGAGTACAGAGGCGTACATTTTTAAGACTTCTGATACAATGTTGACTTGCAGAAAAGTTGTGCCAGTTAACATTGCCAGTAAAAGTGTATGAGAGTTTATCTTAAAGTTTGAGACTAGTTAGAGAGCGTTGCAGATTAGCACAGTGTTTTAGGGAAAAAAATCATAGCATTTCCGTTTGAAAAGCTAACTAGGCTGAAAGGTGGCGCCACAGGTGGCTTTGCCCCTCTCAACTATGGTTTCCTGCAGCCTGGTGAGACGAGTGGACCGAATGGAACACTCCATTGGCAGCATCGTGTCCAAGATCGACGCTGTGATTGTGAAGCTGGAGATCATGGAGCGGGCCAAACTGAAGAGGAGGGAGGTGCTGGGGAGGCTGCTGGATGGGGTGGCTGAGGTAAGTGGTCCTGGGCTTGAAAACGCCGACCAATGAACAAGGTGTGTATTGCTAATAACATGGTTAATGAAACTGTTTTCAATTTGAATTATTGAAGAAGAGTAAAAGCATTAGTTATTTACATAAATTCAGGGTTATTTTCATTTTCAATTTTTTTGTTTTTTTTTTTCAGTCTGAAAGAAAAGCACTTTCTGATTCTATAAAATATCAGGGTAGTCATATTTTGTAACCCTTAATCAGAGAAGTTTATCTTTCTCCTTAACTGGAGATCATTGCAGATCAATAATCTCTCTTAATACTCCACACACACTCTCATGGTCCTGCCTTACACTGGAAATGTACTCCAGTGATTCTGAGAATTGCTATTATATGCTGTAAATCTCCAGCCTTACCTAATTACAGATTTTTTGACCCCCAGGTTTCCTAAGGCAATTTCTAAGTACAAGCATGTCCACCACCCTACTCCTAACATCCTGGTTTCTTTTTCCTATTAGGATGAAAGACTGGGTCGTGACAGTGAAATCCACAGGGAACAGATGGAACGACTAGTGCGGGAAGAATTGGAACGCTGGGAATCTGATGATGCAGCTTCCCAAATAAGTCATGGTTTGGGCACGCCAGTGGGACTAAATGGTCAGCCTCGCCCGAGAAACTCTCGCCCTCCTTCCTCCCAGTCTACAGAAGGCATAGAAGGTGGAGGTGGAAATGGGAGTTCCAATATCCACATGTAGAAGGTGTATTAGTATGTGTGTCCCTATTAGATGAGAAGGTGGCAGTCCCGAATTGCCATAACAAGTACA